AAAAAGTGATCACAAACGAGAAACTAGTCTAGGAATAGAATATTTGGAAGTCTAGAAAAAGATGGGAAGGCTTGATAGCAATGAAACGATGCTAATATTGTTTATGTGTAAATGATGTGGTTATTATTATATTTTGTCCTTTTGTAGATTTATATTTTCCACAAATAATAATAATGATCATAACATTACAATAAAGTTGCTTTGTAGAGCTGACATTCCTGTTCCTTTGAGATGGTCCCGAGTTGGGATCCTTTCCACCCCCATCAGCCACTCCCAGGGACTCCTCTGTGGTTTCAGTAGGAAGCTAGTCTCTTCCTCTTTATTTAAACTTCATATTGCTTGTGGATTCAATGGCTCCAGGGTGTGCTAAGTGATTTTATTCTGCAAATTGAGAACCAGATAGTTTGGAGTAGCATGATGAAGCCTTCTAAGATAATGAGTGTAAATTAATGAGAAAGTATGCCCTCTAGGTTTCCCTAAGAGTCTTTTCTTCTGTGACAGGAGACTCTACAAATGCTTATCATAAATAATGTATTGCTCTGTGACATACTAGATACCTGACATGAGTGTTGCCATGGGAACATCAATGTTCATACACAGTTTAATTCTATTCCAGAAGCTGAAATGAAAGTTTGAATTATCTTTATGTTACAGATGTGGTAATGTAGGCATTGGGGATCCAAGCAGCTGGCCCAGGTCCCACAACAAATCCGAGGAAGAGCTGGAATGAGTCAGCGGATGACCAGGCCATGCCACTCCACATTTGCAGGTGTTTTGAGTGTGAGTGTGACTGGGCAGGACTCTCCACTAGGACGACATGAGGACAACATATACAAGTTCAAAGTGGGCATTGGTATCCTTGTTACCTGGAGCAGCTCCTGATTCAGCTCCACAGCTCAAAATTACTCTTAGGAGTGGAAGTCACCAAACCACCAAAATGACTCCCCTGGCCAGAGACTCTCACTGGGCAAGCAGAAGTCTGGGCTAGCAGGAAGGAAAGGAGGCAGAGTGCACCCTCCAGGGAGAAGGGCTGGAAACATCTAGAACTCTTAGTCTAACAAGTAAGCCCCATGAGGAGCACACAGTAGGGATGTAGTTGAGAAGGTTAAGAGATTTTGAAGTAGTAACCACCAAAGGCAGTAACAGCTGACTTGCTTCTCTTCTCCCCTGGGTTTTTCCTTACAAAGGAGAAGGGAACATCCAGGGTTGACTTGGTGCTAGTGTGTCTAACCACTCATTATTCATAACCCACATATGGCACTGGAAGGTAGAGCATTAACATCTTACAGGTACAAAACAGAATTGTGGGAAAGTTGACTCCATTTGTGCAATATCATCTACTGATGCCCACTTAGTTTATGAAAAAAGAGAAATGGCAAAAGATCTGACTGGAGAACAGCAGCATTTTATGTAGAGGTTGTAGGCTAGGAAAACAAAGTAACAAATAATCAAAGACTTAAAAAAAAAAGCTGAATTATTATTCCATGAAATTAATATAAACAGGGTGTCTGCCCATTCTTGGTCACATTGTAGGAAATAATACTTAATTTTTCTTCATACAAATAGCAAAGGATTAATAGGAGAAAAGACTCTAACAGCTAGGTTTCAACTGTTTGTTCTGGATCTGGAGAATGGCATAGATCTCTGGACCAAAAGTCTGCATATGTTCTACAAAGGGTCAAATGGGAGACATTCCAGGTTTTACAGGCTACAAAGGGCCTCTTCCAAAATGTAAAGTCACCCACAGCTTAGCTGCTCCAAAACATAATTTTCTGTGCTCTGCTCTGAACTATTACACCAAGGCTAAGTGCCACAAAGGGCAGCAGGGCAGGAGGGAGAGAGTGGAGCCATCAACTCCCCAGCCCTTGCTCACACTTGGGCTATGTTGCTCACACTGGTTCTCTAGCCCCTGGAACAGTGCCTGGCATGTACACTTGCTGACTAGTGAATGAGAACTGTGTTTGGAAGGCTGGGGAAATGTTACAATTTATCTCTACCTCTCTCTGCCCTCATCTTTGTAAGGTGAAACTAGGCAATGGCTTGGATTGGCTCTTCTCTGCATTCTAGAATTCACAGTAACTGGCCTTTGCTCTCCTCTTCCAGATCAATAATGAAATGACTAAATATTATGATTTGAAGACCATGTGTTTTATAGTATAGTGTCTATGTATATATTACCAGTGCTTGGGTCTAGAAATTTAGCTCAGGTTTAGCATGCCTGAGAATCTGGGCTTCTATCTCCAGCAATGAGAAGAGTGTTTGTTTATGTATACACACACAGAACTACACTGGGCGGGGGTTAACATGGTACAGAGGCTTCTTTTATGTGAAAGTGCTGTGCCTAAGGGGACCTGGGTTTTTCCTTACGAAGAAGAAGGGAACATCCAGGGTTGACTTGGTGCTAGTGTGTCTAACCACTCATTATTCATAACCCACATATGGCACTGGAAAGTAGAGCATTAACATCTTACAGGTACAAAACAGAATTGTGGGAAAGTTGACTAATTTGCTCAAGTTCCCACAATAAGTAAGTTTCAAACCAAGTCTCTCTCTCTTAACTCGGGCTCTTTAGGAGAAAGCTATGTTTGCTAGAGTTGAATTTCTGGTTCTGCCTACAACTTTCCCTGTGACCTTTGTGATGATCATATCCAATAAAAATATAAGTAGCTTCCTCCTCTGGGGCCAGTAAACTTCCCAAGTGTTATAAGATAGATCACAGCACTTCTTGGTGTTCAATAAATATTTACTGAATCTGAGTTTTGTTGACCACGTGAACTGACACTCTCAAGCAAGAAGGAAGTGTGTAGAAGAAATGCCCAGTTCATCACCCCTTGACTGTCTACCAGAGAGGATAAAGAACAGGGGAAGCATAGTTCAGTGACTGTGCTGGTGGGGCTGTCAATACAGCCAAGAGAGAACAGAGATTCGATGAGAAGGGTCCAGCTTCTGGAAGAACATTATCATTTGATCAGTGAGATCCAAAGATTGTTGGTTTCACTTTTGTTAAGAACAGAACATTAGTCTGAAATCTCATACACAAACAAATACAAAACTATTCTTAGAATAGCTCCCATGGATCCCCTCGCTTAGTGCTGGGTTTGGAATGCCTTGCTCTTTCATCTCCCTCTTGCACAGACACACAAGCTACACTGTTTGCTCTTCCTCTTCTGCTCTGCAGAGTACTTACCAGCTGAAGGTTCTCCTGTGCAGCGGTGGAGAGAACTTCAGGCATTAACTTACACGATCAGGAGTATGCATCTCTCCATTTTTGGATCCAGTGTTCTCTGAAAAGGTCCTGCTCTCATGCAGGCTCTCTCCATGTGCTGTGGAACCACCACCTGCAGTTCAGTTTGATTCATCCTGGGTACCTGCAATTTCAGGAAAAGGAAGTTGCCTTGTGGCACAAGTGCTTTCAAGGCCTTGGACTGTCATCAGCTGTGTGCCACCCTGACCTTGTGGCAATGACTGGAGTAATTAGAAGTTATGAGGCCTGTCCTGCTTCATTGGGCCAGTACTGTTCCCAGACACAATCCAAACTTCACTCCTGCAGTTCCCAAAGACAAAAGCTCTGAGGTTTAAAATCCTGAAAATAACAATCACAGAGGATCAAAATCCTGAGTATTAAAATCCTGAAGCCCTCCCTCCACCCACAATACCCATAAAAACTACACAGGAGGGCTGCAAGGCCAACAGGCCTGCACTTAGCCAAACAGCCCAGGAGTGCTGGAAGGCCTCTGCTCTAACTTCTCCATTTGTGCTAACATTCCCTCCAGCTTGATGACACTGCAGATTTTAATGAATTAAAGCTGCTTTTGCTTGAAGAATCCAGTGAAGTTCCTGGCTGGTTCAAAAGTAATTACATGCACGGGAGCATCAGAGAGCACACTGCCACGCTGCTGTTCAGTCCCCAGAGCACTTCTGTAAACCTGGGGTCTGTGTGAGAGTGCATGCTGGGCAGAGTCTGCAAACACAACACCTGCACAACACAGCACAGAAGACTGACAGCGTGCAGACTAGAGGATGCTTGTGTCAGGGCCTTAGTAGAATGTCAAACCAAGAAGAAAGCAGTTATGATTGTATTTTCTAAGGAAACACATGCCCGGAAGGAAAAAAGAAATCAGCGTTTTGTTGTCATTGTGTGAGACTGTGGCACTAAGGTAGGACTTAGCTAGGTTGCTATTGCTGTGTGAAATATTGTGGCCAAAAAGCATGTTGGAAAGGAAAGGGTGTATTTGACGTGTGCTTCCACATCACTGTTCATCACTGAAGAAGTCAGGAGAGGAACTCAGAGCAGGATCCTAGAAGCAGGAGCTGATGCGGAGGCCAAGCTGGGGCCCTGCTTGCTGACTTGCTGCTCATGCTTTGCTCAACCTGCTTTCTTATAGAACCCAGGGCCACAACCCCAGGGACAGCACCACCCACCGTGGGCTGGCCCCTCCTGCATTGATCACTAATTAATAAAATGCCAGGCGATGGGGATTTAGCTCTTGCCTATAGAGCTTAAAGCCCTGGGTTCAGTCCTCAGCTGAGGGGGTTGGGGTGAGGGGCGGGGATACCCTACAGACCTGCCTACAGCTGGATCTTATGGAGGCATTTTCTTCATCTGAGGCTCCCTCCTGGTGACTCTAGCTTATGTCATGCTGACATAGAACTAGGCAGCAGAACAGCTGTCCACTGCACAGCAAGCCTTCAGAGTAGTTTAGCTGGGGAGCATGGGGTAGCCCTCCCCTGTGCGGTTGACTATAACCTGTCTTTTTGTACATCCGATTAGCCTTTATGTGGAAGGGCTGCCCTCCCTCCCATTTTCAGTTTTATGTTTTCCATCATTTTAAATCGCCAGCTTTGTTTTTTATAATTTGCTACAATCTATCATTTCATCTTTCCATCACATTCAGTACTGGAGGTATGAAATGTGGAAAGACTTCTAGAGAGCCCTCTTGCGTTGTGTGGGTTTGTTTTACACATTAAAATTAGTGAAAATCATAATGTTACTTTTTCTATGTGATTACAATGCATGTTTCTAAAATCATTGAAACTTGGCTGGAAATATGACTCAGTGGTTAACAGCCCTGGTTGCTCTTGTAGATGACTCAGGTTTAGTTCCCAGCACCCACATGGTGGTAGCTCACACCACTCATTACTCCAGTTCCAGGGGATCCTCTTCTGACCTCTGACAGTGTGGGCCTATCTGCTACACAGACAATATACAGGCAAAACACTCATACACAACAATAAAATAAGTCTAATTTTTTTTAAAAAATTGAAATTTTTTCAAGAAATGAAGAGATTCCCTTTTTGTACATCTGTATCTTCGAAAAGCAAATTTTCCAAAATCCAAGCTCCTGGGCAACTGCATATGCAGGCTTGACCCATGGAGCCTTGTGGTGGATCTTGCCAGAAGACTCTTACTGTCAGTTGTGGTATTTTGAATGACCACAGTTACAAAGGCTGGTGCCCACAGTAATCAACTACACTGAGCTGTGTCTACACATTTCATCATCTGACCTGCTTCTGTGTGAATATGCTCTGTGAGTTATGTCAATGCAACTGTCATTAGTGCACTTGAGTGCTTCTACTTGACAACTACGCATGTTAGTGTTGCTTATTCTATGATGTAAGGTATCTAATAAAATTGTTTTTCACAGAGATTGCCAAACTCTACCTCTTGAGTTTGGGATTAAATATGTGCACTACCATGCTCAACAATACTTACTTTATTTCTGTGTCTCCGTGTGGGATGCTTTAGTTACTTTTTTATTGCTGTGATGACGAAGGCATCTTAAAAAGGAAGTGTTTAATTTGGCTTAGGGTTTCAGAGAGTTAGAGTCCACGGAGGCAGAGCAGAGGAATAGCAAAGAGCTCACATCCTGACCCACAGTTAGGATGCAGAGAGAAAGAGAGAGAACACTAGGAAGGGCACAAATCTTTTGAAACTCCAGAACCTGCCCCATCCTCTCCACACAGTGACACACTTCCTCCACTGCCTCCAACAAGGCCACACCTCCTAAAATCCTTCCCTAACAGTTCTACCAACTGGTGACCAAATATTCAAATATAGGAGCTGTACTCAAACCATTCTCCTTCAAACCACCAAATGGGGTAGGTATGTGCTCATAAGAGCAGGTGCCTACAGAGATTAGAAAAGGGTGCTGGATTCCCTGGAGCTAGAGTTTCAGGTGTTTGTGGGCTACCTGATGAGGATGCTGAGCCACCAGCTCAGAGATGACACACACATGTTGTCATACCTGTCTTTTTATATGGATGCTGGGGATATAAACTCAGGTCCTCATGCTTTGTCTTGGTCAGTGTTCTATTGCTGTGAAGAGACACCATAGCAATTCTTAAAAAGGAAAATATTTAGTTGGGGCTGGCTTGTAGCTTCAGAGGTGTAGTCCATTATCATCATGGTGGGAAGCATAACAGCGTACAGGCAGACACGGTGCTGGAGAGGCAGCAGAGAGCTCTATACCAGATCACCAGGCAACAGGAAGAGAGTAACACTGGGCCTGACTTGGGCTTTTGAAACCTCAAAGCCCCACCCCTCCCCCATAACACACGTCCTCTAACAAGGCCACACCTACTCCAACAAAGCCACACCTCCTAATCCTTCTCAAATATCGCCTCTCCCTGATGGATAAGCATTCACATAGATGAGCCTATGAGTCATTCTTATCCATGCTTGTATAACAAGCACTTTACCAATGGAGTTCCTCTATCACATTTTCATGTCTCTTAAATAAATTCTCTATTTAAAATATAAATAAATATATTTTTCAAAATTATTAAATTATTTTTCCAGAGTTTTACTTACTGAATTTTGATGTCTTGGTATTTCATCATTTGGGGTTGGAGCATTTGATACTGTATCTTTCAAGACTGTACCTCAGAGCCAGGCAAGTTTCAACCCAACATGTGGATGGAGAATGCTATACTGAAGTAATTCTGAGCACACAAAAGTTTACATCCACCCTGAGGTTACAGACATGAAGAAGTAAGCAACCCAAATGGAAAACTGAAGAGCAGATTGGCTGAGGTGACAGCATACAGAAGAGTCAGAACACTTCAGGAATGAGAGAGGAAGGGAGGAGATGGAAGATGTGATCTGTGGTGTGGACTTGTGTTTAGACAACAGTCCCCAAGGGAAGTGGGGCTAGATTGCAAAGCCATCAAAGGATTATTTATCATCAGGATAAGAGGAAAAGTCGTCAGTGAGTGCCTGCATAGGATGCTGTGTGGGAACCCAGATTACAGAGTCACTAGGGAAGACTGCAGGAGACGTTTTTGCTGTGGTCAGTGGCCAGGGGTGAACGAGTACAGCAGGACTTAAGCCTCATGAGTACAGCAATTTCTTATTTATTTTGGACAAAGTATCTAAAGGAAAAGACTTAACAATTGTTGATTGGCTACAAATAGCACAGAGCCAATCCAAGAGAAAGGCCATTTCCACCATATCAAGCTAGTAACTATAGTGGTTCGATGTTTTAGAATCAAAAAGATCCATTTATATACTGACTTCTTCATACATTGGTGATAAGATCTTGGCAAGTTATTTATTCACGTACCTTGGCTTCTTTCCTTGGAAAGTAAGGATTGTCAAGTTCAAGGTGTTTTGTGGTTTATAGTCAACAGAGATAACATTAGCAAAAGGTCTTTGTGCAAAGCCTAGCACACAAATGCCAACTCAACATTGGTTATTGTCTCAATCTGTTTTGTACTGTTATAAAAAAAAAATCTGAGGCTGAATATTTTATCTAAGAGAGAGAGATTTGTTTGGCTCACAATTCTGGTGGCTGTAATATCCAAATAAACAGCGTGGTGCTGGTGTCTATCTACCTCATAATGTGACAGGAAAGACGAGGAAGTGGGCTTTTGTCATGCAGGTGAGGAGAGATGTCACATTTGTTCATAACACATGCTGCTCTTATGGTAACCTGCCAAAGTGGGGATTCCTTGTAAGAGAAGACCATTATTCTTTCTTTCATGATCAGTATCCTCATTGTCTAATCATCTCTCATGAGGTCTGAAAAGCCCTCCATTGTGGAACCACCATACTGGGTATCAACCTTGTAACACACAACAAATATCTCACACTATAGAAGTGACAACATTACTTAGAAACAAAATTATCGCTCTATACAAATCAGTATGACATAAAAATGACACCAGAGCATGTAACATAAATCAACTGAGTAAATAGCTCTGCTGGGAGCTGGGTGTTGACATTTGTTTTATTTGTTTGTTCTTTTAAGACAGGGTCTCACCAAATAGCTCTAACTGTCCTGGAACTCAATATTTAGACCAGGCTGGCCTCAAACTCAGAGATCTGCCCCAGGATTAAAGGCATGTGTGTGCCACCGCCACCCAGCAA